CATCATGCATGAACGGTCTCGCTAAAATAGTCACCTTAGGCGACTATTGTTCTTCCCCGCGTCCAATTACCAGCGGAGTTAAACAAGCATGGGCGCTTGGTACCTTAAGTCCCCTTCTTTGTGTCAATTATAGCAGTTCGGTTAACAAACATGGCGTGCCGCATTTATTTATCGATGATATTTGTCCACAAGCACCTGAGGAGTTGAGCTTCGGAATGGACTACCACTCACTCAAGAATATATTCATTTGCTTGAGACTCGGTGCGACAAGTAGATGATGACGTTTTACGCCTTCGGAGGTGGCCTCGGTTTGAGTCGCTTAGCTTCCTGGTTGGGGTCTGTAAGGCTATGAAAATGTTTGTCTGGATAGGGTCGTTTGGCATGGCTAGAAGCCGACTTTAATGACGCTTGTGTTGTGAGTTTCGCTGTCCCTCCCCCTCCCGCTAGACCTCCCTCTCCAACCACGATCTCATTTCCAACGCATAATATAACCTTTTGCGTTGCCATAGCCGGCTGTTAGCTCTCCAGAAAGATGTCTATCCGTTACCGGTGGATTGACAGCGCGTCCCTGTGGCGTGTATTTTCCTTTACCATTTATTGCGACGCAATAGTTGAGGTGCTTTCCGCCTCTAGCTAATGTGCATGATTAAGCGATGTAGTACGGAATGTGTAGACTGAGTTCTCAGTGTAAAACGGCTTGTTTAGTTAGAAAAACTGTCATGTTCACTTGCGGCTGGGGTTGATGGATTTAGTCTGAGAAGGCGAACGTTTCCAAGAATGATGAACGGAAAAATATACGATATCGCGCGACTGACGGAGCTCTGTGTTCTCTGATTCCACACATCAAGTAACTACCCTGATATACATGTTGTGTAATATCCTAGGTAGCATTTTCGTTCCCCATAATGCGTTTATAATCTACTTTTCTGATGCAGCACACTGTGGGGATCGGAGTGAGCTCGAGAGTAGGCGTGCGTCATTCCATATAACGTTGCTTGCTATTGTTCATCAACCCCATATGAGGGTTTGAGACCAGCTGCTGTTTCCTGGATATTTATAGTGTCAGTTCTTGAACTTGTGAGGTAACTATGAATTTTATCATGATTTAATGTGGAGTTGTGGTATAGTCCGGCGTGAGGCCGGTGGTAGGGACTCAGTACGAAGATATCTTACTTATGTGCTGCAAGCTGACAGTCTATCAAACGGAAGGAACTAAATGCTTGCATACGTTGCATGTATCTATTTCACGATGCACTGGGCTGTCTGCTACATGTACACAAGTCCTTGCCGGGGTTATGGAACAATGATGTATTGCGGGTAAAAAAGCAATGCTTAACGAGTCCCGTGGGATGGAAATTATTGCGAAAAGTAAATTGCATGATAAAGTGGAAAGCATTTTGGTGGACTCACCATAGACTTATGTAGAATAGCGGGGATGTTCGCGTATTAAAAGTAGAAATCCATAAATCCATTGTTTGGGAGTTTGGTAAGACACGATTAGTAGACGAGTCTGTGTATGCGGCACGCTGAAACTGCTTACAGTATTACCCTCCTCACGGCTGAACCATTATTACTCACTATCCACAGTGAACCGCAACCCTTTGGTTTCGGGGTAACATTATGTACTATGGGAGCTTGCGAAGCTGAACTAAGAAAAATGCGACCGACTATTTCCTTCGCGGTTGCACAAAAACTCAGGTAGAAAGTGTATGACGACAAGTGAGATCAGAAATGAAACAGTGGATCTGGACTGAGCGAATTTCGCTCAACAAACATATCTTGCATTCGCCATGCTGATCAGTGGAGTCCTGTATTTGTCTGAGGGGCATAGGTACGGTTCTTATACTGCCTTAGCGTCATATCTCAAAGAAATAAGATGGACACCGATCGCAGATGAAGGTAAGCAGTTAAACAACGAATGTTCTAAATCGAGCGAGGTGTCTGGGGAAACACGCATCTAGTCTTGCTGAAGCAGTTTCAGAAGTAAGGGAACTAATACGCACGGATTCAGTGAAGATTTGATACTAGAGGTTAACTTATTTAATCATAAATATAGCTAAAATCCTAGGTAAGAAATGCAATACATGCTGATTTGAATTGTGCTGAAGATATGATAACTCACCAATAAGGAACCAGTGTGTGTAAAACAATGATACATGAGGCATCCCAGAAACGTTAGAAAAATAGCGAGGAGTACGCCTCCGAGTAGACCACCAACCAGTGCCGGTGTTGCTTCCTTCGTGGAAGCGTGTACAAAACCAGATAAGATAGAACGGGTTTGCAAAACAACAGTGTCCGCGATTGCATCTTCGACGTGGATATCCACAACGCTCTGCACGACGGCGAATACTAAGTAGGTGACATTTGGATCCAGTGGGGGATTGGCTAGCAAATCCGCATTTAGCTGGACCGGGGATGACGGATATCTGCCCACATATCTGCCCGATCCGATTTCGATTGGCTTGGTAGGCCGTGTGTTGGAAAAGTACGGAATATGCGCACCTTGTAAGATACTGTGAGATTCCATTTTGTCTACAAGTAAGCGAAACGATTAAACTATCGTAACTGGAACATCAACCATTGCAAAGATAGGTGCCTTTGTATCGCTATGCTGAGGTCACACAGCACTGTTAAAACATCATATGAATGAAAATAGCAAGTCGCCCGCAGAATAGCCGAGTAAACTGTTTGCAGTTTCTACCCGAAAGTGAGACGTTCATGGTCTAATTGAATTCCAAAACAATTTGTCTACTTGTCTAATCGAAGCGGACAAAGGAATCCGAGAAGACTAAATGAATAAGTTTATAAAGCTCAGAAGCTATAACCGGACAAAAGTCGGACGGCGCTGTCTTCCTACAGGCGGAAGCATGATGTATAACCGACAGTCCCAAGGGAACGAAACAGCGGTCTAGATACGTTTGAATATTATGTTGGGAATTGTGCTCGATATAAATTTTATCTAAATCCCAGTGGAGACTGCAATAACACGAAGAATTTAGTTAGTCCGTTTGTCGACTTGCTCATAACTGTGGCACACAACACCGGAACCTACAGTAAGATCCTTAACAGACAGGCGAACACACTAGTCTATCCATAACTGTAACTCACATGCCGGTGGGGGGGATTGGCGAAGTTGTGACGTTGGAAGCTGAACAACATTGTCTGGACGAACAACCAGATAAAAGCCGTTCAAAGGTCCTCCTGAATATCCAGCCACACTAGGGAACTGAACAGTGATGGAGTTATGACTGCGGGATGTTACGATAAGTTCACCGAACTGTAGGTTCGGGGAGATAAAGAACGGTTTCGAGCGGGTCCATGCAGTAAGGCAAGAGCCAGTCGTTACGTACTCTAAAGTAGAAGAAAGGAAAATAGTATCGGATGTAATGTGCTCTAAAGGCTTAAAAGACTATCACTTGGATGGGAAGGAATGCGATGTCTATCGTATAAGCATGCACAGAAATGCTAAAGTAAATTGGGAAACGTAGCTACAGAACGCAATAACGTGTAACTTATAATAAACAACTTTAGTCTGCATGTTTCTTATAAGGTTTTGAAAAAGCTGTAGATGACTGGAAAGCGGGAAACTCTCAAGTCTCTTGCCGACTATTACAGCGACCCTTACAAAAAAGATAAAGAGGTGGATAAAAGTTTTATGATGATATTTGATCGGTTGTACACGCTTACATAGCTAAGAATTTCTTTGCGCTACTGCATAGGGGTTTGTATTGACAATGGCTGCTTCACTGATTAAACAAAACCATCCACATCTTTCATGGAAACTAGCAGGGGCAAAATGCCTCAGTGAACGGTAGAAGTGTTCACAGACCATGCGTTTACAGTCCTAAGCCCCTGTTGAATGGAAAACCGCCATTCAGTAATCAGCAATTGCAACACTGTTTCACTATTACTTTATCTGGATGCTTAAGAGATTGGGCTAGCTTGTTCGCAAAATAGGTATGCAGTTGAATTGCTCTCAGTCTCCCACTGGAAAGCGCGCAGCGAATTATCCAGCATGAGAAGCAGAATAAAGTCACATAGCAAAACGGAATACGATTGGTGTACAAAAAGAAACCGAACATTTGCAATAACCTCTTTTTATTGCACATTGCACAACAGTTTAGGCGATTTCTCCAGCAAACTATTCTTCTCTACTGGCAATATACGGTTCGCAACAGTGGTTCCAGTTTTATAAGTCTCCTGGAACGCATTTTCAGGGATGGCGCGCAGGTTTCTTGTCGCATTGTCCTGAATCCACTCTATGGTTTAGAAACATCGTCTTTTCAGCGTAGTTTTAACATTGGGAAACAGAAAAACGGCTGCAATGGCTAGGTTCGGAAAATACGCTGGATGGGACACAACAAGAGTGTGATGTTTTGCCAGACAACGGCGGACAAGGGGTGATGCGTGAGGCTGCGCATTGTCATGATGCAACATCCAAGTCTGATAAGTAACCTACCCGCAAGGCAGCGAGGTGAACTCAGGGAATCGCCCCCACTGGGAGTCGCTGTCTTGCGAGTAGGCTATTTAGCCAACGACTCGCGATGAGGTCCCCTACGGCTTCAGCAAATGGGTAGTATCACGCCCTCTCACAAAACCATGGACTGTACTACAACGTGCTCACCAGTCACCGTTTCTGCTTCTCACATTCACGCGATTTCATCACACGCCAATTGTTTGTTTGCTAACCATCCTCACTTTCCGTTACCCGTTTCATGTGTTCAACAATCTGGCTGCGATTCCGGTTGCACTGCGGACCAAGGAGTTCAACCTATGACTCTCCTTCGTCCCCGATCCTCGTTCCGTCTGGCGTGCTTCAAAGTTCGGACACTCATGCAGATTGGACAGCAAGCCGGTCTAGCATGCACCCTAGAGTTCATTGATACTGATGTATGCTGCCTTTCAGAAAGCCGGTTGCAAGATCCCAGCACTGTGCTTACATTGACATCCCCAATGGCCACGAAGCCAGATATCACCTACGTCTTTATGATGATCCAGAAGCAGCCTTAGCCTTAGTTGGTGACGATCCTTAGAGTATGCAAAACATTCTGGATCGTTTGACAGTTGAAGCATCTAAGTATGGCATGAGCTTCACCCCATCGAAATGTAAAGTGCGGCTGCAGGATTGGTGCACGCCTGCTCCCGTGCGCACTCTCGAAGGTGCACAACTTGAACAGGTAGATAGTTTCGTCTACATTGGGATTTGTATTTCTGCTGACGGCACTAGCAGCAAAGAAGTTTCTCTTCGCATCGCTAAAGCCCGATCAGCAGTCGCCAATCTGAGTAACTTGCGGCGTCGTCGCGACGTCTCATTCTCGATAAAGGGCCGCGTTTACAGCGCGTCAGTTCGTTCAGTGTTGTATGGGAGCGAGTGCTGGCTGATTCCCGTGGAAAACATGCGTCGTCTTTCTGTCTTCGATAAAGGTTGCTTAAGGAGAATTGCTCGCGTTTGTTGGCAACATTGAGTTAGCAGTAATGACGTTCGACGGCACACCTTGGGGAATGGGAGTATTCCCTTCGTACCCTTTCGATATGGTCATCGTCTGTTGATGTGGAAGGTCGTCCAGACCTGAGATCGTCATCAACCGACATTCTAGCGTGTTCAAAACACTTAAAACACTCATAGGACTGCGTCCGACTCATACAGTCCTCCCGTATGCTTGGCTAAGCAGCTGAACTCTGTAAAAGTTTTGCCGTTTGTAGCAAAAATTTTCACACACTCGCGTTGTTCTTCCAACTCTTTCATTGTCTCTTTCGCACTAAGCCGACGAACAGCTTGTACACGTGCTCAGTTCCGCAGCTGGAGCTCTACAACCAACAATCAGAGTGAAATGCGGTTAATGGCATTTTGTTGTCTAAGCAAGCCTCCACATGTACTCAGTAGCCGTAGCGCGCTCCGACTGCCGGTTGCCGTACTATTTCAAAAAGTTCGGTTTCATTTTGAACATCTCTCGTAACTACAAGGGCCAAATCAACGTTCGGTAGGCAATGTAGACGAGGCGAAGACAGAACCGGAGGAAAAAGCAGGAATCCAGTATGTCGCAAGGTAACATATAACCATGCCAATAGCAGTAAACGTAAGCAAGTGAAAACACACCCAATTTCAATAGCATTTTCTGGATTGCGTACTGTATAACCGGATTTTAACAGACCTTGGCCTTCCCCAGACCCTCGAACATCTGAAGCACTACTTTGTTTTTTGCAGATCCAAAGCCCCATAATCGGGGATTTTCTGCGGCCGTGGCAACTGCATAGTAGAGTTTGGAGCAGCTTGTCCGACCCGATTCATGTCGCGCACGGAGTTCCACACAGGTCAGTTCAGGTGCCGCACCGGTCATTTTGTGTTCATTAGAATGTTTTGGCATATAATCGTCTCAAAAATTTTATTTATTGTTTTTGAAGTTAAAATGTGGCAGGCGACGGATGACCGAAGAGATCCGGAAAAACTCCAACGAAACATGGGCAGTGCTCATGAATGGTCGTTTAAGGAACTGTTCCGATTTACTTCATCTAGATATGATGTGGTCCACATGCGTCATCAGCCGAGCAATATATGTTGGTTGAAGTCCAAATTCTGCGGAAGGTTTCCCATAAGAGTGACTTTGTGGTAGTTCGGGGTACTCTCGGCCGCTCAAAACCATCTGGGATGTCAATGCCCCAAGACCAACCCGCCAGCCTTATGCGTAGAACTTTCGGAAGATTTAATCCATCTGTCTGCCAATAGGTGACTAACATCTAGGTGTGTTCTTATGCGCAATATACTATCCAGGCTAGACAGTCCCGGTAGAAAAAAAGATTCGGCAGCGCCTATGAATCCATAACGAAAAAGGACTAAGCTCTTTAAGGAATTAGTTCGCATTTTATATCAACATAGATACAGGACTCCAGGATTGTGCAGCAGTCAGTAACGGCGTCTAGGAGACGGTTTTATCATGAGTTACTATATACTGAGGAACACTAAGCGCTTTTGTCACCACCTAATGCAACCAAGCAAGTACACGAAACTAAGAGGCCACTAGCTTAACTTGGCCACGCAATATATTTGCATGGACTATGGATGTGACCTTTTCTCTCTTCGTGTGGACCAAACCAGAACGCCATTTGTAAGTAAATTGTTTTCGTCTCTTGAGGTTGCCCTAAACCAATTACATTGCAAAATATGTCCTGCTTACATCGAGAGATGAACATGTGACAGACGGTATATTCTCCATTCCCCACATAATCGAGGGAAACTGCTTTACGCATCCCCTCGTGCGAACAACATTGAGGCTATCAGAACCCTTTTCATTTTGTCGCCATGTTTCCCTCTCCAATGCTGGGGTTCGCATTCCGAGCATCTCAATGGACTTAACTGTGTTTTACTGATAGCACACGACTACTCGGTTGCTACCTGGACGCTTTCATCTTTTTCTGAGTGAACCACGAGCCTTCTAAACTCATGGAACCACTTTTAAAGGAGATTACCAGTGTTTATCTTAAATCATTCCCCAAATTCATATTCCAAGCAACTCACTAATGTATGCCTATCTGTATTGACAAGCGTCTCCAGCGGTGCTCGAATGTTTAGTAATGAACAGGTCTAAGAGGGGTTTTTAAGTCCTAGAATCGACTTTAAACACTGGTTGTTCACCGTTACAAGCCCGCATATTGACGAAGCCATGCCGTGGACTGGCGTGCCAGAGGCAGGTAAGGTAAAACGTGCATGTTCGATGTATTTAATGGTCGAACGAACGATGCATATTTGTTGAGCGACAGGATTTCTGTAGTTTTCTGTTTGAATACCCATTGCACTAGGTGTCCGAGGTGCCACCAAACGTATCGCAGGGATGGATGGCAATCTTCTGGTTATTGAAGTGTATCAATAGATAATCTAATTGGCAGCGGACAGATGCGGAATCAGCAGAGCTGGTCATTGATACAGTACAAATCGGCAAACCGGAAAATATTGCTTAGACGAAGGCATCTTTTTTAGCTCCCGGCAGTGTGCGTGGGTAAGCGAACATGTCCTTGTCTTCACCGATCTGGTGGGGGCGGACCATCGTGTGCGCATGCGATCAAGCTTTCGACGTATACATTTGCTTAGATTGAAGTAGTCAGTTGGCTTGAGATCAAGCCAGTGAACATTGGATTAATCTGTGCAACCTAAATTACCATCTGATAATAGGTATCTTTTATCTAAACGTTTGTCTCTTCCTTCCTCCGAAGTCAACATTCATGAATGAATTCAAGGAACTAAAGCCAATAAACTCTTTATCTATGCATCAAATTTATTGTATTCAGAATGTACAACACTAAACTAAACACATTGTCACTGCAGTGCGAGTAAGACGACGCCATGAACATTGAGGACTCGAGATAGATAGAGCAAATCATGTTACTTTGTGAGGTCTAGACCGAATGTCCACAATGCGTATCCAAGCAGACATATTTGCAGATGGTCAGCATCAACCCTAGAGATCCTGTGACTGTGAGCTGGACGGAAAGGAAGCGATGCAAGGCAATCCGTCTCCAGAAGTTTCGGTAAGGCGTACAATAAGTGGATATCACAAACTCGACACGGTATGCCTATGCTATGATAGTGATAGCATATTATTCCACCGATTATATCACTCATAATTGTAATTGCCTGACGAGAAATGTCGAAAAGAAATTGCTTCGCAATTGTCTTTTGATAAAAAAACGAGGGGGCACATGATGGTTTTAATGAAAACATGTGTTATTTAGTGCACAAATTCTGGCGACGTGGTGGTCGGCTTGATCACATGGTACATATAGGGTGCTTTCGTAGCCCTCTCCTCAGGTAGTCATTTTCGCCCGGAGACAACCAATTCGCGCATTCGTGCTACACAGAGCGCACACTCAAGAGTGAAACATAATACTCTGTCACGGTCCAGCCAAGGAGATGCATTTCCAGCACCACCAGACATACACACCTATCGTTTGGCTTTACAATTCATTTGCAAACAAGCCTAACAGTGGAATAGAAACAACAACCACTCTGAACTTAGTTATACTAGTTTCGGGAGTCAAGCTGTCTACTACACATTCCTGAGTGAAGAGGTCAGTTGATCTGGTGAGTATCGCAGCCTTTTGGACTCCGATGAAGACTCACCTTGTTTTCTCTAGATCCCATCACACCCAAAAATGAAGCACATCGTCTTCACTTGTATAGCTTGAGAAGCATCAGTCGGGGTACGAAAAGAGTAAAGTGTAGCATATGGAGTACCATATGGGTCATAAGTCTCAAAAGAAGAGATGAGAATAAACCGAGCAAACAAAGAGGTGGTGGGATATTGCTCACTATTCTACACATCACCTGTCGGAAGTGTAGTCGAATTAAATTCATGAAATGAGAATGCAAAACCACTTAACAGTTAGCATTGGTCATGCCATTCAGCCGAGGCCTGTGTACGCCACGGTGACCCCTGGCGGAAAAGTCGAGTTCATTAAGAGTAAGTAAAAGGCTTAGCGGTGTTCCACATAGTACATGAATAACCTCGGTGCTCCTGTTTCGAGTGATGCAAATATTGGGAAAGGCTTTGGCGGCTAAAGCAAAAAATGTGGTTTTTCCATAGCTTTGTAGCTTGACATCTCTGTTTATCGCAATCATGAACTCTGCTCGAAAAAGTTCTCTGCTTCCTCGTAATTCAGATAAAATCGAACCAGATTAGTGATGTTTATTTGTGCCTCTGCAATCTAATTTGCTAATTAGCGTATTAGGATCTGCTGGAAGTTATACCATCTTCACTTTAAATCGGACATTTTGCAAATCAAATAGGTCGTTTTGTAAACTTAACTAGACGTATTGCAACCCAACTGGACGTCTGATAAATCAAAATGAACGTTTCCTCAAATAAAAGTGGACACTGTTTAGCAGAAAATCAGCAAATCGTCAAAAAGTTTTGACGGTCAAACTAAGGTAACCCGATTTGTGCAAGCAACGGATGCCAATGCAAGTCCCTCTTCATAGTGAGGGTCGTTCCCTCAATCAGAAGGCGGAGGCCCAGTTCCCGCTGTCTCCATATCGTCATTCGCGTAGAGTGTGTGTATGTGTGTGTGTGTGTGTGTGCGTGCGAACCTGTGCAATTGCGCGACTACTAGAACGGTGTAGGTATTATGACGTCACCATACCTTGTCTAGCTTCATTAGCTTAATGTTGCACGAATCGACTAAAGTAAGAGGTGAAGGAAAGAGAAGACTCGTCCCAGCGGCCGTGATGGTGCAAGCGAACGTCATTAACACAGAAAGGAATCTTCGTCGACGGTAAAACAAACCAAGAAGCTGCTGAAGTTGCAGATGTCAACGAGAGCACTGGAAGAAACATCATCAATGCATACAGGTAAAGAGGTACCAATACTCAGTGGAATTTCGGAGAAAACAACAGGGAGGAGCTGCCTTCCGATGTCCTGCAGTGTGGTGAAGAGGTCGTTGAACAGCATCCGGAGAACACTGGTGCGTGGCGCATGATCGGTAATGCACCGTTCATTCCCCTCTGCAGCGTATACGCGCCAAAGCTTTTCAACGAACATCAAGAACTTTGCACCATTGCAAGTGCTATCGTTAATTCTATTCGTGTGGAAATATCTTAGTTTCTCAGAGCTACAATCAGCGTCACCATGTGGCCTCTAACTGTGAGCAAGAGGGCGTTCGTACGCATCCCCCTTTTCTGAGTCAGCCGCAGATGGAGATTGAACCCGTTTTCATATCAGAAGAAGCACTTCTCTTTTTCATACGGTGTGCGTACCAGGAAAATGAGAGCGGTAGCGTACCTGCTTGCAATCGTCGTGGTATTATTAACGTGGTCTAGCTTGTGGTGACACTTGTGGAATGTGATTTCTGGTCTACTAAAGGTGTTGAAGACCATAGATAATGAAAGGTGGGTGCCATTCCCTTTCAACCGCTGGTGTATTTGCACTAAAATGTTCTCCGAAGGTCATTCAATCGCCTCGTTAATGTGCTGTAGAATAGCATGAGTCAGCTTCTCTCTGTTATTTCCTCCACAGTTACGCTGAGGAAGGGCATCTTCTCACCTCTGGGCATTGATAAGTTTTCTTGACGTGCTTACATTGACACCCGTTACTTCAGTAGCTTGTTGTGAACAATTATCAATCTGGTTGGGAAATAAGTACCATTAACAGCATCTTTCAAGCCATTATTTGCAAAACCATTGAAGCATCTACTGTCCTCTTCGATCCGTTCAATGCTGTTTATCGGTGCTTGTACACATGTGGTGCACGATATGTGGGTCGCACTACGAAGCGACTATCTCAGAGGATTCGCGAGCATATCCCGGCCTGGTTCTGTAAAAGTCAAACGTGATCCTCAACCAGCTCTGTTATGGACATACCTCCTCTGTGAATGACTTCAAAGTCATATACGCGGTATCTGAACGCTTCATACAAGGCTTCCGCAAGAAGCTCATGTCAATTATCGTGGCTGCATATATCCGCCATTTGAAGCCAGAATTTTGCATGCAAAAGCGTTACATACGTCCGTTACTGCCACTTTGGCAAGCGGACAATCTTACTTAACCCTTTGCTTGTCACCTTGTATTGTCGAGCTTTTAGATAACCCTTTTCTCTTTTTAGTTTGCCAACCATGTATGGGATAGACCTAAACATCTGATATGACTATTCAAACAACCAGAAATCAATTTCTCAGTCCAATTTGACACTAACAACGCCTAAACTTTGCAATGTAAACGTTTGGGACCGAGGAGGGTTTACTCGAAAGGAATTCTTAACCTAACACTCATTTGGTCTTGATTTCCTCAATAAAATGAATATATTTGCTTTACTGAAGAACAGCATTGCCTGTGATTCGTTGAACCGAGATCTAACCGTCACAATTGCTCATAAGCATGTTGTAGAGGGTAATTCTAGGTTTGCGACGGAAAAATAGACACCTTTATGCTAAGTATGGATCAACTGGCGAACCACTTAGTTGCAGCGTTGTTAGGGTAGTAGTTTTCAGTAATAAGTTTAGTGAGGGTTGGGATAAATCTAAAATGTAGTTGCCTCACTTTCCAGGATTGCTTTGTTGACTGGTGTAGGGCAATATTCGACAGGAGCATTCGAGTTACTATGATACTGAGCTAAACAGACAGTAAGAGAGGTGGGGCGTGCAATTATCAGTCGCCCTCCCGCGGAATGGAGTGTTTGGAGTTGGTAATTAGGAGCAAGCACCATTGTCTAGGCCACCGATATCTGATTTCCTTTGGGATTTGAGGTACTTTTCATTGGGGAAAGTAAATGATTTTGTAGATTTAACAACTAGTGATGGAAAAAGCTGCAAATCATCATAATTCGCGAAGTTGTTGTCACAACTGGAATTGCAGCTGGAGGTGTAAATGGCGATTGAACAATTGACTCAGAACGCATTTACAGTGTCCAGAAAGAGCGTAGTGAGCTAGGCGTACCGATTTCATTGTTCTCCATAATTCCCATATAGCAATCAAGTAGGATACAGATTCCGGATGCATTCCATGTATATTGCTCAAATGGTGAGAGGACACATTCAATCTGAAGTTGTGTCGATAGAATGAGGCATAGAAAGCGCGCGCGCTGCTGTGTAAACTTGGCACTTAGGGTTCCTTGGGCAGACATTTCCAATAGAGATAAAGTACATCACATCAGATGTGATGGTGTCACGGCTGTCTAAAATGTCTGAGTCATAAACATTGATTAACACTTAACTAGCAATAGCTGAATCTCTTCAAGTGGAACACTGGTGTTTACGATGCGTTGGGAGATATTAGTACAAAAGATTACAAGCGCTTCAAATTGTGTTACTTGACAGGTGGCCATACCAAAGGCCTATTTACAGATACCTCGTATGATTCCGGACTGCAAAAGCCTCCTTCCCCAATGCTCGTTCTGAACCTGGACATAGCGTTTAATCTCTCACATGTTAGCATGCAATTTAGACTTGTCCTGAAACAAGACACCATTGTGATCAAAATGGAAATATATTTCTTGCGAAAATGCCCTTCGAGTAAATAAAGCGATTCCAATCAGAAATTCAGAGCAAATATCCACTAGCATGCAGGTCATGTGTTGAACTGAAGTTCGCATAACTCAACCAATCGAGGTGGTACAATGGTCAAAGTACGATAAATTGGACCATAAAGAAGATTTTGAACATACTGACCACCAAAAGACATGAAGAAATGCAGCTAGACATATGGCCCTATCAGCGCTCGTTCCTGCTCCCTATCCCAGTGGTTTCAAGCCGCATCGAGGTTTCATCACGGAGTTCATCAAACTGGTTCCTACGGCACCACAGTCTGTTAAGGCCTCTCCCATAATTATTAGTTCGAAACGCGGAAGCAATTACATCAAGCGGTCTAACATAGCTGCTTGTTGCAAGATAGCTCACAACGCGGACTACGGAGGCTGGTAAAAAAGTTTCTTTGTGAAATCGTATTCAGCGGTGTGGAGAAAACGGAGACATAAGAATCAAGAGCCAGCCAAGTTAATAAGCTTGTGCGGGTTTATCAAAAATAAAAAGTATCCTTGCCTATTCCTGTGGAATCTCATAGAGTTACTGTTACTATGTACATAAAATGTGCACTTTTTATTCCAGGCTCAGGCATATTACCTGGTAAATGGTGTGGCTATGAGAAGTCCGCTTGGCCTGGTATCGACTGACATTTTCTTGGCAATGGTCGATTTGGGGTGTGATCCCCACCTCAGCCAAGTGTGCCTATACAGATCGTATGCGGATGACACACTAGTGATTAATCTAAGTGTAGAGACCATCCAGTCACTTCCCGGTGTGCACGACAACGTACAATCTTTTTATCTACGAAATGGAAGGCTATACTTGTCTGCCTTTTCTGGATGCATTGTTGACCAGAAGAGAAGAGGTCTCTGTTTTTCAGGCACTGGATCGTATGAGAATATCAACAGCTTCACGCCGGTTCAATACAAGCGTTGCCTTGACAAGACGCTATTTAACTGAGACCGTAGAATAACTAGTGCCGATAGTGTGGAGTCGGAATTATCCTTCATGGCATAAACAATGCAGGCCAATGGATATCCGGAACCATCCACTAAACTCCAGTCTCCCGATGTACCTGCGCTGCTCAAAAAACCTGTATACCTGCGGCTACTCTACATGGGTAATTTAGCGATGGTACAGCTTGAACGACGTGTGAACAGTTATTCTCAGGTACATTCAATAGTGAAAATCTCTACCCCATTTGAACGAGCAGAATAGTGCCGATCCCGCCAGTCAAACTCACTCAATCGGTCTCCGCCATAACACACTGCATGTACTGATTCGTTTATAGCTGCATAATCAGTTAGATCATTATCATCACCATCATCAATACACGTCAGCTGAGGGTGAGAAATATACAGGTAACGTGCCGCAATACAAAAGAACACAGCACAAAAATTGAAAATGTGAGTAATATAAGGCTAAATATCCTATCACATATTAGGTACCAGCTCGTGACTGGACAAAGAATCTAGAAAAAAGGGGGATGGACAAAGAAACTTACAACACAAACGCCAATGGGGCCGGCTAATAGCCATAACAAAAAGTGTGCCCAACCAAAAGTGTTCATCGTCCTTGGGACCCCAGCCTGGCAGTCGGGACGCAACAACCGATGCCAAATTCCAAGCGAGGGCCTTCATTCCATTTGATCAAGTGATTACTTGACCTGCCCTCATCTTCCACCATCCAGACTCTAGGCGCGCAAACAACACATGACGCGGGAGTCGGTGGCCTTGCATGCGAAACACGTGGCCCAACCATCGGAGCCTGGTGCATGATATAATGGTGCTGAGTGGTTCACTCGCTCTTCCTGCATCAAATACGCGACGCCGAACACGCTCATTGCTCACGCGGTGCTCCCACCAGACATGAGCTAAGCTGCGAAGACAGCGATGATCGAATATGACGAGCCTCTTTATGTTTGTCGACCTGATGGGTCAGGTTTCACATCCATACAGGAGAGTTGAACGAACGGCTGCGTTGTAAACCCTGTCCTTCGGGGCGAGAGTAATGTCGCGTCTGCCCCACAAGTGGCGGAGATTGGCAAAAGCACCTCGAGCTTTTGCTATACGGTTCGTAACCTCATCTTCAATCCCACGGGTGCTAATATAACTGCCAATGTACTAGAATTCCTGAACGACTTTTAGCAGATCACCACCAAGCGTTAGCGCAGGGTTGGGTCTCTGCCAGTCTTGGAGAAGTACTTTGCATTTCGAGGGAGCAAAGCATATCACAAGACGATAGACAGCCAATTCTAATTGGTCCAGTGCTGCTTGACATGTTTAGGAGCTATCACAGATTAGGACAATATCATCTGCATACTCCAAGCCAAGAAGCCGCTCACCAAAGAGTAGTGCCAAACCTTGTAGCTCATGTTCAGCTATCGCTGATTCCATCACTTCCTCCATGGCGAAGTTAAGGAGGAAAGGTGATAGCGGGCAACCTTGTTTCACATCGCTGGAGATATTGAAGGTAGGCGACAGTTTGCCGTAAACCCTCACTCGGTCCGAACTATGCGCGTACGACACTCTGATAATGTGTACGTAATTATCAGGCACAACTTTCCGCCACTGGCAGTCCCAAAGAGCACATCGATCCACCAAATCGAAGGCACGTTTGATGTCGAGAAAGAGGACAACGGTGGGTCGCCAATAAACATGGCGGTGCTCCAACAATTGACGCAAAGTAAAAATGTGATCGATGTAGCCTCAATTTCGACGAAACCCGACCTGCTCCTCACGAATCTGACTTACACGAGTGCCAGTCAGTCTGTGGAGAATGACAGAGGCAATCGAAATCAGGCTGATCCCTCTATGATTGCCGAATTCCAAACGGGAGCCTACCTTGAAAATTGGGACAATGACGGAGCGGCTCCAGTCTGTTGGGACAGTCTCTTGCTCCCACAGTTTCACTAGCAAATCGTGTAAACCATTTGCCAGAGCAGGTCCCTCGAATTTGAAGAGGGCTGGTGGAATTCTATCTGCCCCTGCAAACTTATACCATTGCAACAGCGTGGTCTCACGTTTGACTTCTGCGCGTGAGGACGGATCCAATGAGACGGCCCAGGGAGAATGGCACTTAATGTCCGAAAAAGAAAGCGATAATTCAGGTTGGTTAAATTGCCTTGCAAAGTGTTCGGCCCAATGGTCCAAGCATTTTGATAACCTGTGCACTCTCGTCGCGTATGGTCTCGCTAACACCAGGTTTCTGCTATGTTTTTCCCGTA